AGTCAGAGTTCATTACTCTAAAATTGGATGTTACGTTGTTGAAAATTTTCTAGCAATTATTTTGGCAAAAACCCAGACTCATTGTTGATGAGTATTCCTTATGATGCTAACATGCTATTAAAAAAAAATTGAGATGATTTTGTTGCTCAATCTATATATGCACTTACTTTTAAGAGTCTACTGCATTAATGAATATTACCTTGTGATAAAACTCATGTTGTGTAGAGATTGAGCATATAAGTGGTCTCATAAGAACATGAGACAAATGCGTATTTGATGGATACAATAAATGTTGGTATCGTAAATAATATATTTTTGTTGTATTAAAATGATATAATGATGTTGGCTATATTTTATTCAAATGAGGAAAAATCTTTTAGTTGTCAAATAAAATATTATGAGGATCAAAATTTATTACCTTGGAGTTGGCTAATGATGAAGTAGTTATGAAAAATCTCTTAGTGAATATTCTTCTGAGAGAAAAACTAACTTTAGCTATGTTGATGAATTGTGATTGTCACATGCCAATAACTATTATAAGGAGCACAGCGGCGCTGGAAGAATTTGTTTGAAATATGATTAAGCATGTTTAACATGAGAGTTAACTCAATCAATTATGAGATTGTATATAGATCTAACATATCCATAAACTAATCCCTAAGGAAGAAATAAATTGTTCAAATGTTGAGAGGAATGTGACTTAAGCTAATTTGAATTTAACTGTGATAACAATCCAACCTTTGAGATCAGAGATCCTATAAAGAAGGTTTAATAGATAAGAACAAGTTACTTATTAGTTTTATTAACACTAAATTTTTGATCTCTTTCTATAACTTAAGAAAGTGTCAGAATACATTGTTAGTGAAGCTGAGTAAAAGTTCTTAATGATTTTTATAGTCTTTATAAATGGTGTATTTATTACAGATATACTTGATGATATCACCTACATGAATATAGAGTGGGACCGCTCTTATAAGATTGTGGTGAGATCTCTAAAACATTTTGTTAAAACTAGGCATGTGCCCATCCAATGATGTGCAAAACTGTCATTAACAATGGAAATTGTGGGGTATAGTTCAATTAAGAAAACCTCTACTGTATGCCTGAGATTTGTTAGTTCATAGAAATAAAGTTTTACCAACATTTTTATATGATAAATTTTATTGGTCTACGATTGCTTTATAGTTGAAAGACACTATATTTGAAATAGTTATATTTCATGTAAATAATTCAAATGATTATGCATCTTTTGACGCGTGAGGGATTATTGTAGTTTTGTCAAAAAGGAAAGTTTCATAGAGCTCAAATGAAAGGAAGGCTTAGTACATATATACTAAGGTGTAAACTTGAATAAATAAATAGGCTTGGCTTTGAGGAAATTGGTTGAAATATGTTGATTTCCCACTACATGTGAGTTAGATGTGGTACTAGACATTTTTCTAAAATTTTGGACACTATTTTGTTGATTTATAAAATTTTTGTATAAATAGTTGTTCAAAAAATTTTCCTTCCTTTCAAAATATGTGAGAGATTGTCAAATATTAAAATATTAATAGGTATTTGAAAAGAAATTATTATAAATTAATAATATTGATTATTATTTAAGTTTATTTATTCTTTTATAACACATAATTTAAACACCATTATCATCTGAAATTATTTTTTAATTTTGATTAAGGTGTTTTTATTGCCCAGTGTTTTGAGATCTCTACTTATAAAAAGCAAATTTCCCACACGTTCTTCACCTACCTTTAAGCTTTTGGGATTGATCTATCATATTGTTTCATCTATATTGTTGCTTGAGTTTATTATGTAAATTTTTACATTGTTCTATGTCCCTATTCATTTTGCAGGAAGAATCTATTTAATTTTAGAGAGTTGTCACATGATCAACTTGATGTAATGAATAATACTTAAAAATAATATTCTTAGGCATGACTCAAACTCTAATTTTACCTGCTATTGCCAACACTTTTTATGTGGGATCCTTTGATTTATTAGATGGAAAGTTGCAACATCACAAGTCAAGTGGGTAAGGAATGACTGAAGGAGGAGGAGTCAATGTTTTGAGACTCAAATTGAACTAAAAGGTTGGACCGTCACCTAATAAAGAAAGCGATTTGATTTAATCATTTAACCTTTTATTGTAGTTGAATTGGATTAACCCACTTTGACCAAGGCAGGTTTTGACAACTTGACAAAAACTCGAAACACTTGAGCTGTTTTGATATGTTCTTTTCTTTTGACTCTTATTTTAATAATAAAATTTTTTATTCAATTTAAAATATTAATATCAACTTACTTGTGGATTATTATAGTAAAATCTTGAGTGTATAATTTGTTTATTAGTATTATATCAATGAAAGAGTAGAAAAAAGTTGAAAAATTATTTACTTTAAAAGAATAAATAAGGTAAATAAATATATATACATATAAAATATGAGAAAATTAAATTTAATATGTTATGAGTGAACAATTCTAAATTGGGAATAATATTATCTGTATTTTTAATATTTTATTTATATATGTACATATACATATTATTTTTATTTAATTATAATATCATAGTTTCAATAACTACGCCAACTGGTCAAATAAGAAGAACTGTGACATGTTGAATTTTCCAATTTAATGGGACTGATGGATGATATAAGTGTTCGACAATATACTATCTTGATCATTTCGTGTGTGCATTATGTGACAAAGTTAGAATTTTCATGAGGTTAAAATATTCTAGAAGCTTCTGGAACAATCCAGGATAATCAAGAAGGTACCGGAGTCTTTTGAGATATGCTGGTATGACCTCGAAAGATCTAGATATCTCTAGAATAGTGTAGAAAGCACTTGAAGTATCTAGATCATTCTAGGGATATCCTACTCTTGTATATTCTAGAATTTTCTTTGTAAATATCAAGATATTTCTTGTAGATATTTCTATAGAAATGTCTAGAGAAAGCATGTACACCGTTAGATCAAATTGATTCCAACCGTCCATTAAGGAGGTGGGAATTTTCTGGAGAAAGGGGGAGGCCTATAAATACCCCCTCACCCCTCATTTGTAACCACTCAAGCAAAGCAATAGATCTCTTAAGTTCATTCACTCAAGCTCTCTACTCTCTATTTGTGCATCTAGCTCTCTTAGTTTCTTTGCCTACTTGTGGGATTCGGCTGACTTAGCAAAGATCAAGAGGGGGATCAAGCTAAATCTGGCACGGTTTAAGGAAAGAGAGTTCCAAGGCCGTGACAATTAAGACAACATGATGGGCTGGGGCTCGCCGTTGCCATATTTTTGGGACAAATTTCATTAAGTCTTTTTAGCTTAACTTAATTTCAGTCAACCCCCTAAAATTTTTACATTTCACTATACATGTGAGACACTAAAATGAAATTAAAGATATAATTCAAATAACGTTATTTTCTTATGAAGTTAAGTGTATGAACAACTCGTGTAGACAAAATAAATAACTAATATATGAAAAATAAATAATTGACATAGATAAAATTTGCAACTCTCATCTCATTAACAGTATGATACTACTATAAATTTACAACTTTCATTCTATCTATGTTAGTTATTTATTTTTCTTATATGAATTATTCATGAACTTAACTTCACTTGTTTCTATTCACAATAATGTTATGTTATTAATAAAAGTTATAAGTTTAATCTACATCAATTGTTCATTTTTCATGTGTCATTTATTCATTTTTTATACGTCACTTGTTCATTTTATTAGTGATAATAAAGTCCTTTGAATTAGTAATTTCATTATAATTTCCTACATGTGTAATAAAATTTTAGAATTTTAGAAGATTTGATTGAAATTAAATTAAGCCCCAACTAAAAGTTTTTCAATTTTCTTCCTAGGACTTCGAAACTTTGGGACCCGACTTTAAAAGTTTAACATCAATGCCCACTTTATTGTTGGCAACCAAAAAAAAAAAAAACATGTCAATGCGAGAAGAAAACATCATTGACCTTTATTATTGTATGAAAGAAGATTTATAATTTTTTATTGAACAAAATGTTAACTTCGTTTTTGGAAGACATTTTTTGCTGGAATAGACAATAAAGTTAAAAAATTTATGTATATATATTACTGACAAAAAAATTAAAAATTTCTTCAAAAATTATTATTTTTTAACTTTTAAACAGGTAAAAATATATACTAAAAATATTTTTAAAATAAAAACAAAGTCACATAAATTAATATGAAAGGTCCTTAAATATTTTTAACTTATTCTCATACACACACACAGTAGTTGTGTGAAAAGCATATAGTATTTTTTACATATTTATTTATTTTGTTTACCCACAGTTCATCCCACCTCTACTATTCAAGCATATTTGTTCAAATCCCATGCCTCATGCAGAAAGGGTACTCAATATAAGGTCATAAATGACATGCTTTTGATCAAGCATATTAAATAAGTTAATTAAAATATTTGCATAAACATTATTAAATACAATAACCCCAAGAAATGCCAAACAAGCCAACAGTCCTTACTTGCATGGCTTGAATATAGTGAATTCTCTGTGATAATATTTGAGAATTCTCTTTATTAATTTTCGACGAATAGAGAACTTTAATATGAATTTCTAAACCATCGCTTAAGAAAAAAACAAAGCTAGTATGTCAAACATAGTTTTAATCCTTTGACATGTTTATGAATATTTGTATAACTAACTTGATTTACTTGTATTTTACATCTTATATACTTTTTAAGTCAGCTCATATGTCTTGTTCCAAGTTCAGCAAGAAAACAGCAGTGCCAGCGTGCCCTTGTAGATAATCTTGCAGTTCCTCACATTTTCCATTAAAATTAATCTAAGTTCCATATTAACATTAGAAATTACGAATTCTTTTTCCCCCAAAGAAGTCAATGAACATAATATACTCATACATATATACATACATACATACATATGATGGATGCAAGCCTCACACATTGACATACTAATATTTTTTTCATGTCATGTACTCAAAATCAACCAAGGGTATGAATGAAGAAGATTCAATTTGATAGATATATTAAGTGATGAAAATACAATAATTGCAGTGGTCCGTGATGCAGCCTTGTGGAGAGACTTGAGAGGTGATGAGTAGCTAGCAATTTATGGAATCCATTAATATAGCTTAACAAAAACAAAACATCCCAACGCAGAACATCTCAAAATCTTGTAGCTGTTAAGACGGACTAAGACTTCTCATCTATAGTCATTACTTTCTTTCTTGTTTTTTTTTTTTTTTTTTGCCAGTGTCGTCATTGCTTTCTAACTGTACAAAAAACAGATAAGGTCTACGTTAGCTTATCAGGATGAGCCTTATACACCAAAAGCATCAGCCATATTGAAGTTTAAATTTCCCTTCATAGTTCTGCTCCGACCAATACCGCCATCGCCTTGCTTCATCATTGCCGAGAACTCCCCAAAGTCAATCCTCCCATCCTGCGAAAAGTAAGATGGACGAGGATTTTAGCACACCATGTCAGACAAAGATCATTCTGATTCTAAAACTTATGCTGTCAAGTGAGTTCTATGAATAGCTTTCATTAGTCTTTTACAACCATCTCGCACAAACAGTCTTTTGCAGTGGAAATGTGTAGATAAAGCCAAAAGAAGTCTCTAAGGATACCTTCATTATAAACTTTAATGCCAACTCCTCAAAAGAAGTCAAAGAAAGAATAAGTGCTTCTACCTGGCTTGAAAATTTAAATCACAACAAAACTGCCAATCCACAGCTAGTCTTTCAAATCAAGCCACTCAATTATTACTTGTCTGGACTAAGTACCAGTAAACATAACCCCCCCCCCCCAAAAAAAAAAAAAAAAAACCTGTTTATCATTTTTTCTTGTCATATTGGAGGGATTCGAACTTCAATCACAACTCACAAAACCATTGAGGCTACCGAGGCAGTCTATCATAGATTATTCATCTTGTCATAATCCAGCAAATTTTGTTGATAGAGAAAGGGCAAAAGAATGCTGCAATGACAACAAGAGAAATGATGCGAATAACCTTCACTTCCCTCAAGCTGCTGAAGAAAGCAAATTGTATGGGCTCATTCAAAAGTTACTGCAAGTTTGTTTTGGTGATAATACTTGAAACTTTATTTTTGGCAAATATGATCAAATTTTCTTTCAATATTGAAACGATCAGAGTGGACAGTCAAATGGTAGATCAAAAGTTATTCCCATCAAGCCTAATTGGTTCGATACAGATAAACTACTGCTATTTTGTTAAAGAGCAAGGAATTCTTTTCATAATATATATTATCAGTCTACACACAAATTCATAAGCAGCAAAGACTTTGTCTAGCTCCTGGACAATATTTTTCTATGCAAATGCTTTGAAGCATATTTAACATTTCTTTTATTTGATTGTTTAACAGAAATGAAAATATTGTCATACTTGAGAATTTTAATTTTAAAAGCATACCCTTCACCACTAAACACTTCCTTTCTAATGCCAAATGATCCTGAACTATTGCATCACCCTTTAACAACTCCACATTTAGTTATATAGAACCTGATTCACAGATCAATAAATTGCAGTTCCATTATGAACTCTTAATGAGATAAGTTCAGTGATTATTGACCATAAATATCATCTGATAATCTGATCCAGAGAACCCAATTACAAAATGCAATAATAGCAACATTTGTACAAATCACAAGCTGCTTCAAGTGCAACAGGCAACAGGCCAAAATCATCCTAGATCTCCAATAGAAATGACAAACTTCTAATAGAAGCTACAAAGTTATGTCCCGGTTTGTCTCATCTTACAGCTAATAACGCTAATAAGTTCAAGCAAGGTAGAAAAGTTTATTTTGAAAACTAAATAATCCAGTAACAACAAAGTTGTAAGTAAAATTAAACAAAGAATAACAACTAACTAAAAATGAAACCAGAACAAGTTGGCTATAGATTCATAGAGATGAGGCATAAACACATTTACTTAGAAACTTACATTGTCTAGATCAATCTCTTTGATTGTATCATCTAGATGTACATCGCCAAGGCCAAAATCTTTACAAGCCTGCTGAAGCTCATCAATGGTGATGTAACCGCTACCATCTTTGTCAAAATAGGAAAAAGCTGCAACCAAATTCTCCTCTCTTTCCATCTTATTCAAGTGCAGTGTGGCCGCAAGAAATTCACCATAATCTATAGTTCCACTGTTGTCTATATCAGCCTGCCAAAGTTTGAGGGAAGGCAATCAAGGGTCACCGAAATCAACACAAAAGACAGGCAATGAAAAATGAGGTTGAGTTATTTGTATTACTATTTAAGAGAAGAGAAAAGAAATAACGCTTTCCTTTTTAATTACTTTTTATAATTATCTACTCACCGCTTCCATAAGGGATTTAATTTCAGATTCCATCAGATTAGAACCCACTCTCCTTAGACCTTCTTTGAGTTCCTCAAATGTTATTGTTCCACTGTTGTCTGTGTCAATCATTTTGAACAACTCTCTTAAACCACCAATTTCCTCTTCTGAAAGTCTTTCTGCTATGACCTGAAATAATTTTTTACGAAAAATATTAGCATGTGATTTGGATAGATTCCAGAATATAAAAATATGGACACAGTATATATATCACAGAAAACCCATAGGAGCTTGATTGATGGATTGAATGATTGATATGTTGGCAGAAAAAGACAGCTGATTATGTAATTGATTTCATACAGCGTCCTTTGATATGTTTTAGTTAGGATTAGATTGTTTGTAATTAGTTGCCTTTTTGCTTAGATTTGAATAAGGCCATATGGTCAATGACTTTGTCTTGAAAATTAAATAGTTTTTTTTCTTTTATGTAATAATGGCAACTCCTAGGTCAGATTTGGACATTTGGTCATAAATTAGGCACCACCCTTAATTTCTTAATATATTAGGATGGAGACTAAAGTTCCCAATGAGAGCATCTATTAATTTATTTTCTCTCAATTCATAATAAAATGTACCGGATTTCTACATGTCTGCGCCTAGACATTCCATTATTTCAACTAAACTAGTCACATACAAAAATGTTTAGAACTGGTGGATGTTTTACTTCTCTTTATGGCATCCATCAAGATCTTTAAAGAATTGCACTTGATAATGTCAAATCTAGCATGATGAGAAATCAGTTCCAGGAAATCTCCAAGTTTATTTTTTCAACCACAAAGAAAGTTCTGCTTCAGCTAAAGATAATTAATCCATGAGAACTTCTAAAATAAGAGGCATGAGTCACCAACATAGACATTGGCAATTCTCAGCCTAATCAGATAAATAACATTTAACATGGACTTGGACAATCCCTACTTATCAGTTAGCAGAACATTTTAAGATTGCAATTCGAGATGCTTGTTTTATAATCTATGCTATGGGACAGATATGGTCTTTCATAAGAAACCAGATTACTTTACTTTGTTAAAACCATGTAAGTGAATACTCATCTAACATAACTCATAATATACTTAAAAATAGGAAAAAGGAGAGAAAAAAATACCATACGGTTTCAAACAAAGCCATGAACTAATGAAGATCTAATCTCATTTGACTGGTTGAGCATTACAAAGCTTGTAGATAATATATTATATCATTTCTCATATCAATCAGAACTAAGAAACAGTGTAGGGTGAATAGCATTATAACATAACATACACGTCGTGCCATCTTCTTAAGTTTATTCATTTCTGAGAACTGCTTCAGCCGTGACAAAACTGCAGAATCCAGGGGCTTGTCGGGGGCAACTGTATCATCAACAATCCAAGGATGACCTGAATACATAAATTCCATAGTCATTAGATTTATGCAAAGCTGTGATGCTAGAATTCCCTGGCATGCTATGCCAAGGCAAGGAACTCACATGAAACTTCATGAGCAGAGATTCTTTCCTTGGGATCCCTCTCGAGCATCTTTTTGACCAAATCTTTTGCACTTTCTGAGATGCTTGGCCATGGTTCAGATTCAAGATCTAGCTTTCCATGTAAAATCTGTCTGAAAATTCCTGACTCAGTTTCTGCAAGCGATAGGAAAAAGTAAATGCAGCTGAGGGATAAAGATCACAAAACCGAAGATGAGATTATGTATGGACAAGAAAAACTTCACATCCGCAAGTCCATGGAAATGACAGATACACATTAAAATCATTACCAGCCCAAAAAGGTGGGACCCCGCTCAGTAAGATGTATAGGATAACACCAGCACTCCACACATCCGCTTCCGGTCCATAATGCTTGCACAGCACCTCAGGAGCAACATAATAGGGACTTCCAACCACATCAGAAAAGGCTTGTCCTGGAGAGAGAAGAGAAACAGAGGAAAGTTGATGATGGGTCATGATAAACTAAATCCTTACGAGAGGAAAAATGATGAAATGTTGTCAACCAATAATGATAACCAAAGCATAAGGGGCAGAATTTTCTTTTAGAAACATTTAACCCCCTAGTCCAAACTGAATGTGATAATTACTGAATGTGATAATTAAAGGCATATGCAATTGAGAGAAACACCTAAATTCATGGATAAGGAATCAAAATGAGACTCCTATTTTATGAATTCGAGGAGAAATGGAATGACACTCTGACACACATCACAAACCATAATCCACCTTGTCCTGGAAAATCCACCATGTAGTGCTAGGATTCAAATCCATAAGCTGGTCTAGCTTCGAAAAGCAATTTCAAAATAGTAAAAGAAACATAACAATAGCAGTGGGACCACAGCACGGATAGAGACAATCCAAGAAAGAAGCTGCGTATTTAAAAAGACACAGTACAGTGTTCTTAACACAAGATACAACCATGAAAATAATGGGAAATCAAGGGTCTCTGCTACAGAAACAACGCTAACACATAATTGAAAGCGAATTGATCCGCTAATATCGATCAATCAAGAACAAAAGGAACCTTCCATTCTCCTAATGATTAGAGTCATTAGAGCAGTCACAAGAAATAAACAAGCGTGAGAGATCAGACAGCGTTTTCTAATTGGAGACGACAAAATTGGGACGACGTCAGAAATCAACCTGGCTTGTAGAACACAGACAACCCAAAATCCGTAGCCTTCATCTTGGCATCTTCACCGTGATTTTCAAACAAGAAATTCTCGGGCTTGAGATCCCTATGCATGACCCCAAGAGAGTGGCAAGCTTCCACAACGCCAACAATGGTCTTGATCAACTTGACCGCCTCTTTTTCACTGTAATGCCCCTTCTGAATGATCCTATCGAAAAGCTCACCCCCAGCACAAAGCTCCATAACTAAGTGTACGAACACAGAATCCTCGTACGTTCCTTGTATCTGAACCACATTAGGGTGCTCCGACAAATGATGCATGATCTGAATCTCCCTCCATACATCTTCATAATCTTCTTTGCATAATAGCTTTCGCTTAGGGATCGATTTGCAGGCAAAAAGCTTCCCGGTGGATTTCTGAGTGCAGAGATAAGTGGTTCCAAATTGGCCTTGGCCAAGCTTCTTACCGAGAAGGAAATGATCTCTGAGTCTCGGGGTTTGATATGGCAAGACGGAAAGGGAACTTGCTTGAGAAGCTTTTGATGGAACGCTGTTCTTCTTCATTTCAATCTCAATTCAACGATAAGAGAATGTGATTTTTGCGCACCTTCGCAAATGGGTTGGTTTGATTGATCTTGTTCGTGTGTTCCTCTGGCCACACCTTGGCTCTATTTTTTCTCCTTCTCTCTCATCTCATGCTGCTCTTGAATTCTGTTTCTCAAAAGTAATCAGTTTTCTCAAAATGACAAAAATTCCCATTTACTTTTTATATGGGATCCTTCGATTTATTGGATGAGAAGTTGCCGCATCACAGGTCAGGTGGTTGTGGAACGACCGAAGGAGGACGAGTGAGTGATGCGTGATAGAGCTGTTCGACAATATACTATCTTGATCTTCCCGCGTCAGCATCAGGACAACATCATATGGTGGGCCCCGCCTTGCCCAATTTTCTTCCTAGGACTTTGAAATTTAGGACCCGACTTGCAAATGTTTAACATGAATGCCCTTTATATTTTGGCCAAAAAAAGGGAGGAAAAAAAAAAGAATGCCCTTTATATTCTTTTTTTGGCCTGGATCCCCTTTGTATTGTTGGCAACGAACAAGTATCAACGCCCTTCATCTGGTCAAAAGAACACATCAACGGCCTTTATTATCATGTATAAAAGAATTTATCAAACAAAATGATAACTTTGTTCTTAGCAAGACAATTTTTTGCTGGAATAGACAATAAAATTAAAAAAAATTATGTATATATATATTACTGACAAAAGAAATAATAGTTTAAAAATTTACTATTTTTTAACTTTTAAACAGGTCAAAATATAAAATAAAAATATTTTAAAAAGTACAAACAAAGTCACATAAAGCTTAATAAAATATGTGTGGAAAGTTGAGAGACCAAAAAACAAAAAATTAAATTTGTTCTGGTTAAAAACAAAAAGCTAATTTGCTCTTTTGATTTTTGCACGGATCACACTCAAATCATTTTCCCCCCTGAATTGGGATACGTTATCTCTGTAAGCAATAGCATAAAAATTTCATATTTCTCATATATCATTATTGAGTATTACATATTATATATATTAAAATTTATTTTTCTCAATCCAACCCAGCCACGATTAAAGTCTTGATCAAACCATGGAACCTTAATTGCCGGAATGAATTTGCAAACATTTGATATGATAGCTGTGGAAATACACGAGCAAGTCAAAGTTAGTTTGAAAGGGCGGGAATAAGGACAACTTGCTCTTAAAACTTGGAATGCTGTCATGTGTATGTAACACATGCACTTGTATATTTAGTGTAATAAATTACGTGATTGTTCCTAAATTATAATTATAATAGAAGATATTACACACACAAAAACAATATACAAGTCCAAAACAAATGGAAATATATCAACCCCTACACCCCCACACCTGAGCCTGTAAGCCTTGGAATTTGGAAGACAGTCACAACAATGGCTATGGCGGAACCAGCATAAATATTAATAGGGTGCAAATTTTTTATGTGAATATTGATACATATATATTACATTTATTGTTTATTTAATATTTATAATAATTATCTTTATATAATTTTATAACTTTAATAAAAATTAAAGAATATTTTACATATACATTATATTGACCTTAAAAATATAAATATAATATAAATAGTTTTATTATTCAATAAATTTTCATATATTATAAATTATTAGAATATAGAAATTCAAATTTTATGAAAAGTAAATAATTTTTTCATAATTATATGAAGCTAACTGTTCAGAATCTGTCTAAAGAACATTTGCTTGAATATAGATAAGGCATTTGCATCAATATTTAAAATTTGTATTATGTTTAGATAGGGCTAACGATTATTATGTTTCAAATACTTAAAATTTGTATTGTTTATTATTATTTTTTAATATACAAAAGCAGAGAACCGAAGCGATACTGAGAAAGAGAGGTTACACTGTGTTCTACATTTCAAACCATCTAATGATGTAATCATTCCATTAATCATCAGCCCAGAAAAAGGTATTATTGCAGGTTTGAAGCACCTGTATACATCATCATAAGATTGTACAAGATAATTTCTTGACCTTTACATAAACATAGGATGGATCATAGTAGGTTATACATGGTAGAGGAAACTACTTGAAAGATTCACCTAGAATCTCCTCATCCTTTAATGCAGGTTCTTAGGACCTGAATGGAGCTGAAGAGTCCTGCTTGGAACAACTTGAAGAACACCTGGTTGCCCTGCGAAAGTTAAAATTGAACAGTCAAACTACAATTAATATAATACACACACACACACACATTAACGGTAATAAGAACATTATTTAAGTGACAATAATCTTTAAGCAATCGTAAGGCTTTACACTACAACAAAAGGTTAAATAAATAAAACGTAACTAGAGAAAACATACCAAAGTTTTGAATATTCTAAGCATTACAGAGAAACAGAAATAATAGTCCATATGTGGCGGCTATGCTAAATAAGAACAGCAGACACAAGTGAAAAATCAAGAACATCATTACATGGTATCTAACATACATGAGAACCCTTGAAACAATGCAATCAAATAAATCTCTCTTAAGTAGGAGAGATTCACTAGATCTACCACCTATTTTGATTTCCTTTGAACGCTTTTGTGAAACAGGTATGTCACATTAGAATTTATTCCTCTTCTAAAAGCTTCCCTACTTTTCAACTGTACTAAGTTTAGCATTTCAATTCACTCTCACCCACATATTCTCAAGCTTCAGTCAGTTGAACAAAAAGTTGATGTTCATGATTTAGTTCATTGTTATCTTTGTACTTGTAAACCTGCAGCTGGCATTCCCCCTACCCAAATACATATTACTCAAAAGAAACAATGAAAATTCCTTAACCCCTGCATATTTACAAGCAAAATTAAATTTAAACTCTTTGAAAAATAGAAAATCTCACTTCTAAATAGCTTTTCCCGTGTTAAGACAACACCAACCTATATATGAAAGACACAGAAAAACAGAGCCAGACTAAATACGATCGATTTAAGGGAACATAAATGACACAGTAGATTAAGGTTAGCTCCCTTTACCCAAATCTGTTTTCAACATCAGCCTAACATGAGCAAACATGCAACTTTAGGACTCAAGGCCAAGGAATCTTCCTCTTAACCACGACCATACTTATTTTCCACACAAAGCATCGAAAGAAAAATGATGATTTCTTAAAATTACTGAGAAAGACAATAAGCAATTAAGAGAAATGGGACTAAACTTACTTGAAATTTGAGAAACCTGCTCCGGAGATAGCTTAGCCGAGAATCCACTAGCAGCGCTTTTGTAACTGTACAACAACGCCTCCTTAGCAGCCTCCTCACTACAATCGTGAAATCAAACAAAAAAGAATGAACCACACGGTCAATTATGGAACCCTAATTTTTCTCGAGTAACAAACAGAAGCAGAAAAAGATCAGAATCACAAACCTGCCAAGGACAGCGGCGAGGGTTCTGATGTGGTAGGCCTCAGGCTCCTCATCCTCGGGTTTCTCAGTGTAGACGATGTGGACAGCAGGAGTAGAAGAATCAGCGGAATCAACGGATTTGGGGGTGGATTCGGCCATCGCAGTAGAAGCGATCAGGAAAAGAAAAGAAGAAGAAGAAGAGGAAGCAGAGATTTCGCGTTCATTTTGGCGTGATGATTTCTGGTTTTTAAAGAGGACCCTTTCAAATGCTTTTTGCTTATGGCCTAAGGAGAGCCGAGAGACAGCGCGATGCGATTTGGAAGGACGGATTTGTCTTTTTCAGTCTTTTGCTTTCGTGTCAACTGTTACGTATTCCTTCCTCGTTGGCTTGCCACGTCAATATTAACGGAGGGACGCGTTCTGGTGTCCAAGCATCGTTGATTCCGTCCTCCCCAACAAACACAAGGTTAAGTACAAGAAAATGTCATCATGTCATGTCTAAACTGATAAGGTTGCTGCACTATGGAGATGAATTATCAAAAAATTTTAATATTTAGATCGTTATTAGGAGCTTAATCCATGCATTTATTACTCCTATAAAACACATGATTATTAATTAATATTGGCTTGTTATTAAAGCATGGTTACTTGTTAATTTTTGAGTAATTGTTTATTTATTTGGCACTAACGTGAATGCAATTATTGGTTCTTGATTTTTTTAATAATGGTGCTGGTTTGAGTAAGTTGAATAATGCAAATTTTGTATTTATTTTTAAAATTGATAACGCAAAAAGTATGAGATGATTTAGGCTTATTGGACTTTGTAATTTTTTTTTGTAAAATTATTGCCAAGATTTTGTCCAAAAGGTTGGAGAGTTTGCTTTCTAGAGTCATTTTTGGGAATCAAAGAGCCTTTGTGGCTAATAAAATGATTCATGACAATATTATAATTGCCCATGAAGCTTTTTATCATTTGAAAAATAAGAAGAAAGAAAAAAGGGTGGAAATGGCTATTAAAATTGATATGAATAAAGTTTATGATAGGTTTGAGTGGAGTTTTATTGAGCAAGTAATGAGAAAGATGGGGTTTTGTGATAAGTGGTTGTCATGGATAATGAAATGTGTTCGATCTGTGAAGCTAAATTTGGTGGTTAGTGGGAGGAAAATTTCTGAGTTGAATATGGAGGAGTATTAGACAAGGAGATCCTTTGTCTTCTCATTTGTTTATTATGGCAGCAGATGTTTTGTCATCTATGATACAGTGGCATGTTGATGTGGGCAAGTTGAAGGGTATTAAGTTGGCTAGTAAATGCCCTATTCTTTCTCATTGTTTATTTGCGAATGATGCGTTATTTTTTATGGAAGTGAGTAAGAAGAATTGTAAAATGATGAAGGCTATTTTACATTCTTATTGTGAAGCTTCTGGACAAGCTATTAATTTTGAGAAATCCTGCATCTTTTTTTCGAAGAATGCAGGGGATGAAGTGAAGAATAGGTCTAAATCTGAAGCTTTAGGGTTCGTAAGGGGTAAGATGGCAGTGAAGTTGCAAGGGTTGAACCAAAGATTGCTGACTTTGGCTGGGAGGCAGGTGATGATAAAGGCAGTGGCAAATGCAATCCCTATCTTCCCTATGTCTTGTTTCAAGTTTCTGAAGAAGGTTTGTGCTAATTTTGATAGTATGATTTCAGGGTTTTGGTGGGGTCAAAAGGCGAATGAAGGGAGGATTCATTGGAGATCTTGGAAGCATATGTGTAAGGCTAAGGAGGAAGGTGGGATGGGTTTTCATAATTTTGAAAGGTTTAATAGGGCTTTGTTAGCAAAGACTGCATTGAGATTGTTTCAAAATGTTAATGATACTTGGTGTAAGATTTTAAAAGGAATATATTTTCCCGCGAGTGATTTTATACCAGCTAAAAAGGGCAGTAAAAGCTCTTGGGTTGGTCAAAGATTTGTTGCTCAAAGACTTGTGTTGGAAAGTCAATAATGGAAGGAGTGTGAGTATGTTTGAAGGAAGATGGATTCCTGAGGCTGTTGATTTTGTCATCTTTTTATTGAAGAATGCAGGGAAGAAGTGAAGATTAAGGTCTAAATCTGAAGCTTTAGAGTTTGTAAGGGGTAAGATGGCAGTGAAGTTGCAAGGGTGGAACCAAAGATTGCTGACTTTGGCTGGGAGGGAGGTGATGATAAAGACAGTGGCAAATGCAATCCCTATCTTCCCTATGTCTCGTTTCAAGTTTCTGAAGAAGGTTTGTGCTAATTTTGATAGTATGATTTCAGGGTTTTTGGTGGGTCAAAAGGAGAATGAAGGGAGGATTCATTGGAGATCTTGGAAGCACAAGTGTAAGGCTAAGGGGGAAGGTGGGATAGGTTCTCGTGATTTTGAAAGGTATAATAGGGCTTTGTTTACAAAGACTGCATGGAGATTGTTTCATAATGTTAATGATACTTGGTGTAGGATTTTAAAAGGAATATATTTTCCCACGAGTGATTTTATATCAGCTAAGAAGGGCAGTAAAAGCTCTTGGGGTTGGTCAAAGATTTGTTGCTCAAAGACTTTCGTTGGAAAGTCAATAATGGAAGGAGAGTGAGTTTGTTTGAAGGAAGTTAGATTCCTGCGGCTGTTGGTTTTTCACTATAGAAATGACCTTTGAGTGATGATATGAAGAAATTCAAAGTGTGTGGTATTATTAGCAACGAGATGTGGGACTTTGGGGTGGTGAATGATCTGCTCTCTAAAGCTGAGAGGGAAATGATTCTTAGGATTAGGATTCCATTGATTGAAGGGGATGATAGGTTGGTGTGGTTGAAGTGTAGGGATGGGAAGTATTTTGTAAAATTGGGTTATAAAGTTGCTGGTGATTATGATGAGCAGCTAACACAGATAGGTCCAAGTGGGTCGAACAAGGCTTCCAGGAGATTTTGGAATAGTGTGTAGAAAATTAAAGTGCCTCCAAAGGTGAATCAACTTGTTTAGAGGGCTGTGAATGGTGCCCTAGCCACTAAAGATGCATTGTTTAGGAGAAAATGTGCGCCTAATCCTAAGTGTGAAATTTACTGAGTGCAAGTAGAGACTGTGGAGCATATGCTTTTCTTTTGCCCATGGATAAGGTTGTGCTAGTATGGTTCACCACTTCTTTTGAAGGTGGATAAGGTGGATATGCTTAGATTGGATAAGTGACTGGAATAATGATGACTTTGGGTGGCTCTTTTTGCTTGTATTTGTTGGGAAATTTGGAAAACAAGATGTAGTTTTGTAATGGAGGGGAAGGATATTGACGTTGTTGGTTGTTTGTCAAAGTCTATAAGGCTGGCAAGGGATTATAAGGAGGCTGGAACATTGAAGATAGGAGTAAGTAAGATTCAAGGGCCTATAGGATCCGTGAGTTGGACTGTACCTGCGATGGGTAAGTTGAATAATAATTTGGATGCAACTTTTAATCATGACAATCATAGAGCATCTGTTGATATAGTTGTTAGAAATGATGTTGGTGATTTTGTGAGTGGCTTTGGGTGCTTAGTGGATGTTGACTCACCTTTTATGGCTGAATGTTTGGGTCTGTTAAAAGCTCTACAGACTAGGGGAAAGTTTGAAGAAGTGGGCTTAATTTTTGAGATAGATTGTCAGGAGTTGTTCAGGAGGATAGTGAGCTTGAAAGAGATGGGTTGCGAATGTAATTGTATGGATGTGCTTTAGAAATGTTTCTGGCTGTGGAGATCCTTTAGTGGTTGTGAATCGAAAGGGCAATAATGCTACAGATTGTTTAGCAGCTCCGGTAATGGGAGGTGTGGTACTGAAAGGATGGCTTAATAAGCCACCACCTTCTCTAGTTGCGGTTTTGCTAAAGGATCTTGAAGGCTTGGTGCATGGATGGGGTACTTTTGGCTAGAGTTCTGATGAGGGTAAGCGTTCGGGTATTGGTTGATTTTTTTTTTTTTTTTTTGTGATTATGGGTTGGGTAGGTTGTAGTGCTCTTTATTTTATTTTGATGGTTTTGATTGCGTTGCATTTCAGGTTTTATTGCTTTCTTTTGTTTTGTTTTACAGGTGAATTAGTGTGTGTACTTACTATTTTTTTGGTGATTAATAAAATGGTACTCTCTTTTATGCTCCAAAGAAAAAAAAACACTATTACAATTTTTACTTATTTTATTAGTTTTTTTAAGTTATTTGTGAATTTGTTTTTTAGGTAAGGTTATGTGTCAAAACCCTAAGATTAATGCTTATACAATTAAATATATCTTATCAAGTTTTTTAAATTATTCATGAATGAATGGGTGCTTGTTACTTACATGCAGTTATTTGACAATATCTGAATGGTTACTTATTTGTTTAAAACACTTATATAATTAAACATGTCCTATTAATTTTAATTAAACAAGTATTGATCATGAATAAATAAGCAAATATTCAGATTTTGACAACTAATAAAATGTAATGTAAGTAATAAATATTCATTCATTCATGAGCGACTTAAAAAAACTGATATGACAAATAATAATTGTATATATATTAATTCTGAATAAACAAACAACCATTTAAATATCAACAAGTAGCCAAATATTAATAATAAACATGGTAAAAAAAAAAGAAAAGAAAACCTGATTCCGTTCAGTCTTTTTATTTCTCTCCTAACTCAACTTTTTGTTTTTTGGCTTTTTGACTCAACAAACGTTAATAACATTCAACTGTGTAGGGAAAAAAAAAAAAACCAAAAACCATTCCACTTTTTTTGGCCAACTCGCTTTTTTCCCCTTGTCCTCTTAATTCAAAAATTTGTTTTCATAAAATATAAATACTTGATTAAAAAACAAAATAAAATATGAATGCTTCAGTAATGGTGTTTTTATCATTTAAAGTTATGATTTAATTTTTACAAATTTGTGCCAACTCATACATGTTCCACGGTCAAATGAAAAATTTGCTTATTTTAGGTCTTTATTGCGTAATTTACACCAAAAATAGACAACTAATTTCCTAATATTATTTTTCTCAGCGTTTTATTATTCAGCTACTTATTTTTTATTACTATATTTTGTCCGATACATCTACCTACCATCTAACTGAAAAAGGGATGGATGCTAGTAAAATATCTTTTCAATAAAAAATTAGAAAAAAAACCACAAACTAAATTTTAAATTTCTACTCAAAAAACACTCACATCTATTACTTAACCGTGTTTTGAACTGGATAACATAATACTATCAAAAGAACAAAAATAATGGAAATAAGTAAATATCGTATTTCACTCACATTGTTTATCACCGTCTTCAAAAGCACTTACCCTTGGTTATAGAACCATTAAGTAAATATCCTCCCTAGTATGTGCTTTTCTCTAATTTCCTCTCTATCTAAATAGAACCATTAAGGATATGTTTGGATATAGAACTTTTAATATTCAATAACTGCTATTGATATACCATCTCTGTTGTCTGGG